CTCCTGAGGGCTCCCGAGGCTGATCACCCCCACTATGTGATAGGGTAGTAGCGCCGCCGGAGTCGAACTGAGGAGTAAGGGGCAGCTCACCGCCGAACAACTGACCATCCAGACCAGACAAATCGAAAGACGCATCAGACAAATTGAGCGTGTTACCTTCTTCGTCGAAGTCGACCATAACTTCGGGCAATTTCCCCTCCTCAGCCATCGCACACAACGCAAGAGAGAGAGAATCGAGAAGAAATAGGTCGAAGAAGAAGGAGAAGCAACACGGTTAGTTGAGAAAACAGGAGGAGGAAAGAATAAACGAGGTCATCAAAGCCCCACAATTATATACCAACAGAGGAAGGAAACCCAGCCGTCGGATGAGGCATCGAAAAATGGGGGATGTGTCGAATCGCAATCCCGAATATGATTGCGACCGCCTCGGCTACAGCAATCCCGCCGCAATATTTTTTGAAAATCAAACCCACTACATGTACGAGCCAGTAAGCAGGAGACACGTGGCAGCTGAAAGGTTACGTGCTGTCAGACGACCCTTCACATTCCAAACTCAACAGAAGCTAACCCTAGGACCTATTTCCACTAGGGGGCATAGTGTCGTGGCGCGCGTGAAAGATTGTACGCGTCGCTACGTAACGTAATGCGTACGCACGAACACGCGCTTTAAACCATAACGGTTACAGCGCGATAGAGTGTGCGCACGTCGCGCAAATTCAACACTAGCGGAAATAAGTCCTAGAGCTACCTCCTGCTGGGGGGCAATTGTTGGGGTAAGAGGCTAAGTCGTCGCGCGTCGAAAGCTCACCGCCAGAAGAGCCTGGACGCGCGTAACCGCCAAAGCAACTGCACCGTCTGACAACACGTCCCGTCACTCGTACGACTCACCTACTTTCACAGTGGTATAAATACAGCATTTACTACGGAGAGAGGGGGAGGAAAAGAAGGAACCGGACTACCCTCTCTCTAACTTTCTCTCTCTATCCCCTTTCTCTGTAACATTGCTACTCTATCTCAATAACACAAGTCTTAGCGCATTGCCTACCTTACATTACTCAAACCCTTCCAAACTTAGTGTCTCCCTCCTACCACACCAGCGAGGCATAAACATATTGTTTTGGTGGGGAACGATTGATGATTGATCATCATTCTTATTTTTCTCTAGAATGTGGGTCGCAATTCACATGTATTTTGTGTATGTATGTATGGGTCCGAGCTGATATATATTCGTATAATATTTATTGTGAATTCTTTTAAAACAATTCCTTCATTACATAAACTTTCAAACACTTGAATGTTTAGCCCATTAATTTTTTTTTTAGCTTTTTTTAAATAGTTATCAAGCGTCCTTCTTATATATTTTTTTATCCGCTTCTATTATGTTTTATAATGAAAAATCATTGGAATTCATTATGGCTAACACCCAAAACAAAATCGTATATATAAGTGTGGGTCTGAAGTAGAGGTGGCAATTGGATCGGATTTGTGGATTCGATTGGTGGATCCTTGGATCAAATGGATTGGATCCAATGGATTGGTGGATTCATGGATTGGATCAAATGGATTGGTGGATTGATCCATGAATCCAAATGACATCCAAGGCTTGGACCAAAATGCAAATTTTGAAAAGTTTAGGTACTAAAATGTCATAATGAAAAATTTTAGGTACCAAAATGTAATTTTCCAATGATATTTTTCGTATAAAAATATAATTTTTAGGTACCAAAATGTAAAATATAAAAAATATAGGTACCAAATCGTAATTTGCCATTTGGATCCATGGATTGATCCATGAATCCACCAATCCAATTGGATTTGGATCAAATGGATTGGATTTAAATGGATTGAATTAAGTGGATAATTTGATGGATGGATTGGATTGGATTCATGGATTTGAATCCTAATTCCCACCTGATAAAACTCAATGAAGCAAACTGACCGTTTTATTTATAAAGCTGTAAAACCATGCATATACAAAACTTGGACTCTATTTCAACACTAAACTCGTCCACTTATGACTACCAGTTCACCCACGTTCCTTGATTTCAGCTTCTCTATCTAACAAACTAAAACTAAAACAACAAAGCTACCAAGGCTTGAAAGCCACTGAACGCAACACCACTATCTTAAAGTTAGTTGCTAAAGGTCGCCCTTAAAATTGCTAAAGGTCGCCCTAAAAAGAATAAAAGTTACACTTTTAACCCCTATAGCTTCTTTACCTTCCCTTCCTCAAACAAACATCACTTGGACTAAAAAAAACACTCTCTAAGGAGAGAAAAATCTCTCATCGTCATTTTGAAGCCGATATCGTCGGTAGGACGTCTGGATCATGAGTAGCGACTCCGACGAGGTAAAAACATGAACCGGAAAAAAAAAACACAGGAAATGGGAACCGCGGGTGATTTAAGGTCCGACCATGGTCCAACCGCGGGTGACCTGCGGTTGGACCATGGCCGGACCGCAAATCACCTGCGGTTGAGCCATTGGTGGACCGCAATTGACCTTCGGTTGGACCATGGCTGGACCGCAAATCACCTGCGGTTCAGCCATGGTCCAACCGCAGGTGATTTGCGGTCCGACCATGGTCCAACCGCAGGTCACTTGCGGTTGGGCATTTTTTGGGTTTTTTTTTTCGTTGAATAATTTTCTATTTTTTATATGATTTATGATTGTTCCATGAAATAATTTGTTGGGTTTTGATTTATATAATTTATTAGATTTATTTGCATAATTATTTTTGGAATTAAAGGATTTAGCATTAGAAATTAAGATTAGATTTTTGGAATTGAAGGATTTAGCATTAGAAATTAAAGATTAGATTTGGCCTTAAATTAAGATTAGATTTAATTTCGTGTTAATCTAGAAAATTAAGATTAGATTTTGCATTACAAATTAAGATTAAATTTATTGCATAAATAATAGATTCGCATATGAAGTTATGATGATTATTAAATTTGATTTATATAATTTTTTAGATTTATTTGCATAATTATTTTTGGAATTGAAGGATTTAGCATTAGAAATTAAGATTAGATTTGGCCTTAAATTAAGATTAGATTTAATTTGGTGTTAATCTAGAAAATTAAGATTAGATTTTGCATTACAAATTAAGATTAAATTTATTGCATAAATAATAGATTCGCATATGAAGTTATGATGATTATTAAATTTAATACTGATAACATTGCAGGATATTGGAAGTTACAATCCGGATGGCCATGATTACACCTCGGATTTCATTGATGGCGTGAAATACACTACGGAGTTGCAAGCATATGAAGCAGCCATTGAGATTGCAAAGGGTTTTGGGTTTTATTTGGTGAGGGCATCGAACAAAAAAAATACGAATGAAGGTACTTGGCGACATTACTTACATTGCACTCATGGTAGGAAGAAGAAGTCGAAGGAACCTGATCCGAGTAAGGAAACGAGGCCTCTTACATCTACTGAAAAGTTGGGGTGCGAGTTTAAGATCAAGCTTGAGCGGTCAGGTGATGGATATTGGTTGATCCTAGGGGTGGCAAATACAAAGAATCCTGGTGCTAATTTGGGTTTCCACAATCATCAGTTGGAGCTATTTCCGGAGGGATCAAAGGGAAGGAATGTTTTGACTACAGAGGACAAGCAATACATCAGAGAGCTGAGATCAGCCGGTGTCCCACCAAGGAATATCCACAAGGCAGTGAATGACAGAAAAGGTGCAAATGGAACACACAACAGAAAGAATATTTATAACGAGTGTCACAAGATAAGGAAAGAAGAGCTTGGTCAGATGACAGCCTTACAGTATACTTTCCGCATGGCGCAGGAGAAGGGTTACTATGTGCAGTATATGGACGATCGTAACGTGCTTACACACTTGTTCCTAGCCCACCCCGAGTCAATATTGATGTTGCGAGCTTGGCACCATGTGATCGTGATAGATGCAACATACAAGACCAATAAGTATGATATGCCTTGGGTTGAGATTGTCGGCATGACACTAGTGGGATTGAACTTTGTCATTGCATCTGCAATAGTGTACGACGAGACGAAGGAGTCGTACCAGTGGCTTCTGACGCATTTGCAACATCTTCTTTGCCCCATTGTTCCAGATGTGTTTGTCAGTGACAAGGCAGGAGGATTGGTTGAGACCGTGGGGGTAATGTTTCCATCATCGACTCATATTTTATGTCTTTGGCATATGGATAGGAATGTGAGAGCAAAGTGTCTAACGGAGGTGCGAAGGACGACTCATTGTGGTATAGATGCAGCCAAACCGACAGTGGATCAGATCATGGCGTCTTGGCAACGTGCTGTATATGCATTGACAGTGGAAGACATGGATACTGCCTTAGAGAATTTCAGACGTAGTTGGGGAGTACAGTACTGACGTCTTTGGGGGTATATGACAGCTGAGTGGTTACCAGTTAGACACATGTGGGCTAAATGTTATACCAATCAACTGCGGCATTTGGGTAACACAAGCTCTAATAGGGTTGAAGCTGCCCATTCCTCCTTCAAGAAGTGGCTTCAATCATCTACTGGCGCAGTCGACACGGTTAGTAATGTAATAAATCTGCATTGATACACACATAAGTTTTAGTAGTCTCCTAATTGTTCTTCATTGTTTGTAGGTATACAAGAAGAACGATGATTACATTGAGGCTCAACACCTTCAAATCAGGAAGCTGCTAGAGGATTCCCGACAAAAGAAGCTGCTCCGAGCGGATGGAAAACCATTTCGAGAGTTGAATACGAAAGTCACTCTAGAAGCTCTGAGGTTGATGTTGTTCGAGGTAGCAGTGGAAGGGGAACCTTGTACATGTACGTTTCTTCCTACCTATGGTCTCCCATGTAGATGTTCCATTCAGTTAGAACGACGTGAAAATCGGGATTTCGCCTTGTATGATGTGTTGCCATTCTGGACCGTTATCAACTATCGTGAACCTCCTACTCGGCCGGAGTGGGATGACCATAGTGATTACCACCGTGGTGTGTTCCAAGGTCTAGTACATGAGGTTCTTGATAGAGGCGACGAGACCATTCGAGGTGCAATCGGCCTACTCCGGAGCCATCTTCATCCTGAAAATGATGGCATTGATGAACCGCATGGGGGACAGCCCCGCCCCGGTCGCCCAAGGACGTCCACCACTCGAAACCTGTCTCACTTCGAGCATGTGGAGAGGAGACGAGGGAGGAGAAGTTCAAGACTTCCGACTGCAACTCCGGACAATGATGGAAATACAGGTAGATTAACTTTTTCTTTTAGTTGTGTTCAATTGTCCTCAATATGGTGTACAACTAATCTATTTTTTTTAAATGAGATAGGTGGTGCCCCGAATGTGAATGCACAAACCAACTTCGAGGATGAGACGGAGCCGATCCATAATGATACAGGTTAGAAATTATATTCCTAATTTCGAGTAAACATATAGTGTAACTCTTTGTATTAATTTATTCTATTATGTTCTTCATCTAGATGGTGCACCGAATGGGAATGCACAAACCAACTTCGAGAATGGGACGGAGCCGGTGATCCTTAATGATACAGGTTAGAAATTATATTCCTAATTTCGGGTAAACATATTGTATAACTCATTGTATTAATTTATTGTATTATGCTCTTTGGCTAGATGGTGCCCCGTGGAGGGTTGCTCGGATTCCCAATACTAGTTGGAAGAATTACCCATGGCTGCATTGTTTGGAATCCTACGTGCAACGACTAGTTCGTGGTTGGTTCAACCCTATTCCAGATGGACACTGTGGATTTCGAGCTATATCACAAGCAGCTACTGGGGACCAAAGGAATTGGCCACAAATGAGACGCGTTGTTCTAGAGGAGCTTGAATCCCGTCCTGAGCTTTATAGAGACTACTATGATGGAATAGCAAATGGAATAGAAAATGGCATTCGACGTTGCAGGTGGGCATCAACAAGTGGCTGTGGACCTTTCAACTGGATGGATAATGCGGAACTCTTCGTCTTCGCCACCTTGCATTCATGGGCCATCGTTGTATACAGTCAAGGCGGTCGTTATACCGTGCTACCTGTGACGGCCCCACCAGGAGTAACAAGACCACGTGGGATCTTATCACTACATTTTACGGGGGATCATTGGGTGCGACTTGACTTTCGACATGGTCAAGTGCCCATGCCTCCAATTAATGGCCTTTGGCCTATTTATCATGACCCTAGTGTCAATGGGTGGGATCAATTCTTCTTACATGAGCGTGCGCTTTATGATAGATTGAACCCACGGGGATGAATTGTATAACTCTCTATTGTATAACTCTCTATTTACGAATTGTATAACTCTCTATTGTTGAAACATTTAGTAATCTACCATGTTGATTAACTATTTTAGCAATGCATTGAATGTAACTAAAGTAATAAAACACACAATAGTATCAGTTCAACTACAAACCATGACAAATAAAACACAATCATCTCAGTTCAACTACAAACCATGACAAATAAAACACACAATAGTCTTAGTTCAACTACAAACGATGACAAATAAAACACAATCGTCTCAGTTCAACTACAAACGATGACAAATAAAACACACAATCGTCTACTGAGGCGGCTGCCCTACCAACTGGTCGTACTACTCGAAAACCCCAGCTACCATATCATAGAGCTTACCACCGTCCTCCTCCCACTTACTCCGGTCCCTCGTCAGCAACACGGGACCTAAACGATCCACAATCTGCTCTCTCAACTGTAAAAATAGAAATCAATGTTAGAATAAATAACAAATGTCTTTGATATTTGGAAAAACAAAAGAAAGTCATAACTAACCTGATGAACTAGTAGTGGTCGAGGCTGAGGCTCCCCATCAGTGGGGTGGGTGATCCGTGGGTGCGATCTAGTCAGAAACCAGTCAACGTACTCCTCCACAATCTCCGATGGGTGCTCGCACGGCCGAGAAGCAAAATCCAACTCTAGACGACGAGCTGCCACGTTATCCCACAACTGATTAACCCACGGATCCCAAAAGACTATGTAACTGCTGCCGGAAGCCGGACGGTACTGGTCATGTGGTACCGTCATAGCAGCGGGGATAATCTGTCGGTATCCAAACTGGCGCAGACAACGTGAAGGATCGTATCCCTCAGCAATGTCAGAAAAGCGAATGGGGCCAGTATACAAGGAGCGGGGTATATCTGTGTGGCCATCTCGTCCGTACGGAGTCCAGGTCACATCATCAGCTGAAAGCTCATCCAACAACTGTCGATAACGTACTAACCTCTGTCTAGCCTCATCCCCACCTGGCAAACGGGGAGAAATCCACGAGGAAGCACGAGGTGCATCCGGAGACTGTGGCAGCTGGCTCGGACGGAAAAGAGGAAAGTACTCATATATCCAAGCCTGAAGCAGGGTCAAACAACCACAAAGACCCTTACTACCCGCTCGTGTGGCCACTCCCAACTGTCTGTAGAGATAGGCTAGTGCACCAGCTCCCCAAGCGTAATCAGCCAATCGTCGATGATCCTTCAGAAACAAGTTGATCGCAGGACGAAGGCGATCACGACTCTTATCCACAAAAAGCGTGGATCCCAGTAACACAAACAGGTAACACTGCACCTCCATCTCCTTAATCTTTAGCTCTCCCCCACGCACCAACAATCCCTCTGCATGCATAGCACCATTATCGTACCACTTAGACTTCCACTTACCACCAACCTGAGCATCCACCGAAAGTCGAACTAGACCACCCATGTCTGACTTAAGAGTATCCTGCGACGCCTCATCTCCCATCAGCTGTCCGTCAACCGGTATCCGAAGAATGTGATGCACATCGTGTAGAAGGATCGAAATCTCTCCAAACGGCATGTGGAAGGTGTTTGTGTCCGGCCGCCACCTCTCCACAAATGCCGACAGTAGAGCCATGTCTAAATGCTGCATCATGCACCCCGTCAAGTGAGACAATCCTGTGGCTTCAACCATCTCCTTGGAACCCTCTGCACTCCACTTATATCGCCTCAAAGTCTCTACAGCTCTCGGCCTATGGAAGCCGTCCAACACTCCACAGTCCTGCTCAGGGGAATTCCACAGTACCAAGCCAATGTGACCTCCAAAGCTAGGGATCACATCGGGAATCACTGGTCCACCTGAACACATCGGAGACTCGGCTGTAAGAAACCACGACATATCTTTCCTCGTGGTCTTCCTCTTCCTATTTCCATCTCCGCCATCCTCGCTACTAGGTCTGGACGCATAGCGTCCATCGGGCCCACGGAAGTGGGAGGAGGTAGTAGAAGATACCCCGACCCGTGCCGTCTTCCCCACGCCTAAATCAGCTTGAGGTGGGGCATCCCCAGCCTCAGCATCACCAGCACCATCAACAGCATCATCACCAGCAGCATCACCAGCAGCATCACCAGCATCTGGGGCATTCCCAACCTCAGCATCACCGTCATCATCATCATCCTCGTCAATGGAATCACTCCAATTAGCCTGCCATACCGGTGCGGTATCTGGTGTAGGAGTACTGGTAGTACCTCGACTAAGAGACAACTGCCCCACAGTAGGGTGGCCGTCAGGACGCACTACATCCGCCTTCTTCTTCCTTCTAACCTTAGGTGGATTTTTTTCTTCATTTTCCTTCCTACCAGTCGCCGTAAGTCTACAAGCACGACCTTCCATTCTCTCCTTATTTCTCGCCTTAATCATATCCGGTTTACCCATTCCATGTCCAGACATCTTCAAAAAAAAGTTTGAATTATTAATAATGGAGTACATAAAGTAATTAATTTAAGATTTTCATAATTAAAATTATAAAACTAATAGTTTTAACATTTATGTTACGTTCTATGTAATAATTATTTACTTTTTAATCAAGGTCAAATTATTAATAATTAAGTAGATAAACGAATTACTTTGAAATTTTGATTATTAAAATGATAAAAACACATTTTTAATTTTTTATAATGTTTTTTAAATTTGTTATCTTTAATTAACAATTATCGAATACGATTTTAAATTTTTTTATATTATATAACTAAATTATAACTAAATTAACATTTATCGAATACGTTATTATTAATTATCATTATAACTAAATTAGTATTTATCAATAATATAACTAAATTTTTTTATTATGTATATTTTTTTAATTTTTTTTATTATTATTAACATTTATTTAACGAATAATAAAACACAGAATTTAAAAAACAGAATTAAAAAAAAAGGCCCGAACCGCGGTCAACGCGCGGTCAGACCGACGGTCAACCGCGGCCAGACCGACGGTCAACCGCGGTTTGACTGCGGTCGGCACGGTTTTTTTTTTTTTTTACCTTCTTCTTGTCCGACGAACGCGCGCGACACCTTCTTCTCCGGCGGCGGCGAGCGCGAGACAAGTAAAGACCAGGAGGCAGAGCAGGTCGCCGGCGACGGGAGTGACACGGCGGCAACGATAGGAGCAGGAGGCCGGCGACGGGAACAGCAGAGGGGGAGGGAGACTTGTGCGGCGGCGACTCGTTGGCGACTGAGGGGGAGGGAGACTTGGCCGGCGGCGACTCGTTGGCGACTGGGGAAGAGGGAGACTTGTGCGGGTGAGAGGACGACAACGTTGTCGCCGGTGAGAGGTGAGAGTTTATTTTTTTTTTTTCTCTTCAAAGGGCGGGTGAGTGGGGAGGGGAGTGAATTTGAAATGTAGGGGTTGTTTGTTTAGAGCCAAATTTGAGTTTTTATTTAAGGGTATATAAGTAATTTTATATTTAAGTTAGGGCGATGTTTAGCAATTTTTAGGGCGACATTTAGCGATTCATATCTTAAAACCCACAACTCAAAACCCAAAATGACCCAACTCTCACCAGAACTCACGTGATCACTCATGTGATTACTTATTCAACAATGCCTCCCCTAAACCTTATTTCAACCCCCAGGAAGCTAAAAATGCACAAATCTTTCCTTATCCGAACTCCTTAGAAATTGAAGTTTTACATCCATACATCCGCTTTCTTCATGCAAAACATGGCTGTGAATATCTATGCCTCCCCTCACACCAGCCTTCCATTTCATTTTTTTCTAGAACTCTTTGAAGCCAAAAACTTTGAGGAGTATAGTCAAAGTCTCCGACAAGTTCACCCTCAACTACAGTCAATGTAATTACTTTTTTGCTTAAGCTCAATTTTGCCCCCTTTTTTGCAAGGTTGGAGGGGATGAAAGTGTGTAAAATACACTTGTATTCATTTGCTCTCCCATTTTTTTTTTTTTTTTCGCAAAGTCAGTATTGAAAAGATAGTCACAAGGAGAAAGAAAGAAAGTCGCGGGAGTCGACCAATAATCGAACTCCCGATGAGAGGGCCTTTAGTGCCACATGATGGGCAGCCCTATAAAGTCGACGAAAAACAAAGCAGTAAGAAATCAAGCTGAACTGAGAAGCTAAGCTCCGAGCATCCTCCAGTAGAGCTCCACCCCGATCATGCGCCAAATCGCCTCCCACCATCCCGCCGTATCAAGTGTTGTGAATTCCCATGAAATTTGACAGAGACAAAGGAATGTGTCAGGCACCACTGTATGACCTCCAGTATAACAAATGAATCGTGTAATCCTTCATAACACTTTCCGAAAACAAAGAGAATATTACCTGACGATTGAAAACCCACAAAGCCAATACTACCTTCGTAACTATGCTTGACCGCACCATCAAACTAAACATTAATAGTGTTCAAGGGGTTCCTTCAACATCAGGGGCGCCATTCCCAAGTGCTCCATCAAATCTCATCAAAAGGCCACCTAGTGAACAAGACAGCCGTCACCGATCGACTACTGTGTAATTGAATCGTCACCTGCAAAATGAGCAAACAAAGGCCCCTACTAGGACAATCCAGGCCAAAGAGCCAATAGGTCAACAGAGACACAAGGCAGCAATTCGCCTTTGAAATAGAAAACCGGGTCATCGGGAAACCCTAGATAACCGGCACCACCCGTTACAAACCTAAACCTTCTTTCTTTTCTTCTTTCTTTCTTTCTTTCTTTTTTTTTAATAAAAGGAAACAACCTAAATTTCGGGGACCTAACAATGTGCAAGTATAGAATAATAAAAATAAGGCAATAGATACGTACGAGAAATATGAAAAATGATGGAAAGAATAAATAAAAACAAATAAAGTAAGAAGGATAATTATTACGGGAACGAAATTAATAATAATAATATTAATAATAAAGAAATAAATAAATGATAAGGGAGTACTTATCTGTTCGTTGGGCTTAGTTTTGGTGGAATTGGTTTTATGAGTCAGCCATATAGAAGCAGCTTTTCTCCTCCCCTTCTCCCCTTTGGATCCTGCGATTAAACAAAGTTTACCCATCATTGTACATGCTTCGACGAAATTATGGACCCGCCTTTGATGATTTGGGATAGGTTAATTATTCAAAGAGACTCAACCACTATTATGACTTGAGAAGCTCATTGCTGCCATTTTTCGATATAGTCCAATTATAGTTTTTTTTTTTATCTAACTTGGGATAATGATTTGATTTCAGTATTTCACCAAAATAGAAGAGCTAATATCAACAGTCAACACCACCACCACGTCTGCCGTTATCAGCAGAATGTCGCGGGATTTTCTAGCGTTCGAGGAAGAGGAGAGCTAATAGGCAATATTCTACTACTTTCTAATGTTTTCTTAATATGTGGATACTATCGTTATCACCTTAGATAAAAAAAAAATCAAGGGGCTATAACAGCTTCTATACCACACGTAAATCCACCACTAATTACAATACAATACAATGTGCAGGTGGGATGTTTGCGCTGTACTCGCTGATATGCCGATACCCGAGGGTGAGGCTAACGCCAAGCCAGCGAGCTGCGGGCGTGGAGGTGTCAAACTATCACATAGTAAAGGCAGTTTGAGGACCAAAATTGAATTATTAGTGCATTCAATCCACTATTAGCGCATTTGAACCAATTTTTTTCAACCCAAATATCGATTTGTCCTTTCTTGTATATTCAGAAAGTTCACAAAACCGAATCTCAAACCATTCAGTCCAATTTCAGTTGATTCAAATATTATCTCTTTAAAAGAACAAGTTACAACTTTACTATTTGGTAGAGTCACATCCAAACACTGTTACTTAGTTTGCTTTTTGGTTCTCTTGATCAGTTCTTGGTTGCCTTCTGTGACTTGGTTTGCTTTTGGGTTCTCCTCATCATTTCTTGGTTGGCTTTACTGAGGACTAAAATTGCAATTATGTTTTATTTCTTTATTCCTTTCCTCTCTCCTGCAATTATGTTTTATTTCTTTATCAAACAAAACAATTGCACCTAAATTCATGTGTACTCGATCAAATTCGATTCGTTTCGGTGTTGCTGAACTTTTGGTCGGCAACAAATTTTATCAACTTTTTTAAATAACGAATTGGGTCAGGTGTGCCTCTTGTTAAGAATTATATTCAAGCTAATTCAACCCGGTCACGGTGTTGCCGAATTTTGGGTCGGGAACGAATTTTATCCGCTTTTGATGGGTCGGGTGTGCATTTTGTTAAAAATCTTGCCCCGCTTTATCAATCCGGTCAAAACGAGTTGAATCCAGTGTTGAAATTTTTTGGGTCGGGACGAGTTTTACCCACTTTTGTAATTGACGGGTTAGGCGGGTGTGTTTTTTTTGTTGAAAACCCGGTACGCTTTATCAAGCCAGTCAAAGCGAGTTGAATCCAGTGTTGATGAACTTAGGGTCGGGAACGGGTTTTACCCGCTTCTGTAGTTGTCGAGTTCGGTCAGGTGTGGTTTTTTTTTTTTTTTAACTCATACCGCTTTATCAAGCCAGTAAAAGCGAGTTGAATCCAGTGTTTCAAAATTTCGAGCGAGGGACGAGTTTTATCGATTTTACAAACCCTTTTATGATATTGAACCCAAATCCAAATAAGTGTTGACAAATTTTGGCTTAACGCCGAGTTTTTGCACGTTTAAATCATTGGATCATGGAGGAGTTTTTCTCAATTAAGCTTCTAATTTACCCAAGTCAATGGTATTAGACCTGGTTACAGGAAGTTGAATTCGATTTTTTTTCAAATTTTGGTTGATAACGAGTTTTAGACGGTAAATTTGACCTAATTCGACCCGGTTAATGCGAGTTTAATTCGGGGAGTACATCAATTATTATTATTATTAAGAAGAGTGATTTGCACAAACAGCATATTCTGTTCAGGCAGCCTACTTTTAGTGTTTACCCAGACAGGATTTACTATTGATAGGCCTGTGTTTGGTTGATGCACTGTAGTGGGCCTGCTTTGCCACGTTTCTGCAGCAGCTTCGGCCTTCTCTCTTGCTCCTTTCCTCTGCCACGGAAATCGCGCCGGTCTCAAGTATGGCCCAAGAAAAGAAAGAGATGCATAGATATTTTTAGTGGGTTATTGGTGGATCTAAAGGCCACGTTGGTGTTTTATTTTGGTCCACTTATTTCACCTACCAGTGCTTGCTTTACCCTTTCTAGAAACAGAAACAAACCCAACGATGTTCTCTCTCCTTCACTCCCTCTCTCTTTCACTCACACAGTTACACTCTTTCTCCAACTCTCTTCTCTCTACGCTATGGCTTCCAGCAGAAACCTCAGTCTCACCTCATCTCTTCCTCTCTCTCTCTCTCTCTCTCTCTCTCTCTCTCTCACATCTCAGGCCCGGGATAGGGAAACGCCGACCAGAGAATCGTTCGATGACCTCCGGCGACGAAGAGAAGATTCGAAGATTCAGTAGCTTAGAGCGGTCACCGGAGAAGGTGAACTTGGGCGGCCGAAAGGTGAATCTCAAGTCTCTCTCTCCTTTATCGACTGTGATCTTGCAGGTTTCGTGTGTTTTTCAACAACCTTCTCTGTGTTTGGATTTTAGGTTTGTTATCAGGGATTCAGAACCGTGGTTGGGCGAAGAGGTGAGGAGAGGCAACTTTCATATGAGGATTCCGCAAGAGAGGGGAAGTAGAGAAGGGTGAGATCCCTATATTTTGTTCGTTCTTCTCTTCTCTAAACTCTCCCCTCCAGGTTCGCTCTTATTTAATTCTACTCTCTTCTCGACTTTTCACTAGCTTAGAGCGGTCACCGGAGAAGGTGAACTTGGGCGGCCGAAAGGTGAATCTCAAGTCTCTCTCTCCTTTATCGACTGTGATCTTGCAGGTTTCGTGTGTTTTTCAACAACCTTCTCTGTGTTTGGATTTTAGGTTTGTTAACAGGGATTCAGAACCGTGGTTGGGCGAAGAGGTGAGGAGAGGCAACTTTCATATGAGGATTCCGCAAGAGAGGGGAAGTAGAGAAGGGTGAGATCCCTATATTTTGTTCGTTCTTCTCTTCTCTAAACTCTCCCCTCCAGGTTCGCTCTTATTTAATTCTACTCTCTTCTCGACTTTTCACTTTCCCTCTTTGGTTTTTTCCTTTTCTGGTTGAGAGAAAACTCGCGTCAGTCTTGAGGGGGGAGGATTCTCGGAGTAATCAAAGTGATGGTGGTGTTCGAGCTATGGTGTTCGAGCTATGGTGTTCGAGCTAGACGAATGTGATGGTGGTGTGCAATGGTTATCGGCCGGGTCGTAGATCCTGGTCTGGCTAGCAGGCGGATTCTTAGGCCAGAGCTTGCTGATGGAGAAGAGACGTGCACGTTCAAAGTTCTTCCATATCAGGTATTTTATTCCTAGGACTATGGTTCTGCTTTTGTGCTTTTATCTCCCCAGTATTCGATCTCATGTGCTTCCATTTCGGTATCTCTTTTGCTGTAGAGTGAACCAGAGTTTCCTGATTTCTTCTCTTCTCTTTCAACTGCGTGGATTTGAGTGGTCTAAGGACTGGATTCGGAGAAGTGCAGAGAGTGGGTTCGAAGATTCGGCATATCCCTAGGTTTTACTTTGCCTTCAGGTGATTATTCCTTTGTTCTCTATTTATTTGTTCCCTCAATTTTCCTTGATGGGTTCGTTCTATCTCTTTGCCCATAAGGCTTTCTCAGGAACTTTTCTCCGCTGAAAGCTCTAATCAAGTTGTTTCTCTCCCATTCTCACCTGCGAGCACTGGAATCGGAGAGGAGAGGAAATCGAAAAGATGGCTCAATCCTTTCCAGAAAATGAGAGTTGGGGGTGAACCCACCGCGGGACGACGAGGTTCACGACGGAGGGTAAAAAAATTTGTTTGCTTAATCTAATGGTTATTAATGGTTCGAGGTTGTTTATTTTTTTGGTTTTGATTCGTCTCTCCTTTTTGTTCGATCCAGTTTATCTCGAGAATCCTCTCGGATGGGGATCCAGGCTCGAAGCAACAGAATGACCTAATTGCTACTTTGAGAAACCGCCAGAACGTTAGAACAATCAAATAACAGGTTCTTCCTGTTTTGGTTCACTATCTGCAGTTTTTTTCCCCCTTCAGTTCTTGAATGATGATTCCGTGGTTTTTTCTTCTTTCCTTCATCCCCCAATCGAAAAAGAGTATGGATTCAGGTTGATTGATTCACGGGTTTGCGAGATGTTGATGGAATGCCTCTGGACAGTGTCGTTGGAACATAGATATGGATTCCGAGCCTGGCGTTGGTAGTGTTACTGGCGAGGAAATTGATTTAATGGGAGCAGCTCCTATGCATATATCTTCAAAGCAGGCGAAGAGTGAGTTTCACTCATATGGCCGTTTGGACCTCTCCTTTAGAAGTTCACTTCGTGGTGGGTTCGTGATTCAACCTTCAGAAGGGAAAAACAGTCTTTGGCATTCTAATGGCTCATCCTTCACACTGTTAACATGAACCCATCTTGTCATTCCCTTTGTGAGTTATTGCGACTACTCTTTTTAACCAATGGAAATAAACTATGCATTTTGCAGTTATGCCAGGCAGCTTTACCTCCAATATTCAGAATCTACTACTGTATCCGAACCAAAGGAGTTTCCAGCTGATTTAGATTGGAACTCCTCGGGAATTAATGCTACCGATGGCAGAAGAAGCATTTTCTGGAGTCATTCACGGGTTTGAGAGATTGAGGGTGGTTTCGGAAGAGATGTAGGTCCACGGATTTGGGGTTTCGGTTTGAGGTGATTATTCTCACTCTCCCTCTCTTTCCCTGCTGTGTTTTTTCCTGAACTTTCTTGAATGTGATTGTGCTCTCTTTTCCTGTCTCAGAAGGGTCCATTTGGTCTTGGAGATTTCGTCATTGAGTTTGCTTATGGTTTTGCGTTTGATTCCAGGTGATAGTATATTATTCAAAAAACTCCATCAACTGCCGTCTTCTCGATGAACCTTCACCACGGTGAGGTGCATCTTCCACTTTTTGTTCTATGATTCATTTCTTTCCTCAATTGTGCCATAGATCTATGATTCAAGCTAATGGAGTTTGAATTGGTATAAACATAACTGGCTCCAGGACTGAAGAAGCATCTGAATGGGATCAATGCTCCTACGCACCGGATGCCTGACAAGCTTGACAGCCCTTTTGTATGGTTTCCCCTCTCCTTCTCCTTCTCCTTCGTTTTTTGTTTTGTTTTAAACCTCTGCAGTGATCTAATGATTTTTACTGGTTTGCCCCAATTTATCAGGCTCGGTAGTTGTTGTCTTGGCCTCACAAATGGTAGAAGTGCCTGCTGCTCATTCTTATCTCCAAAATCGTCCAAAGTATGAACTTGCTTCGTGATAGGCGGTTGATCTTCTGATGTGTCGTTTGGTTATGGTCTGTCACACAGTCAGGACTACCAAGACTTTCCTTGCTGGTTTTTTGTGGGTACATCTTAGTTCATTTCTCAATTGAAACATTTGTTCTATGGGGTAAACACTGCATTTGTTTCTTTACTTTTTTTTATATGGCTTTGCTTCACTATTCAAGAAATCAAGGATGATCGTAAAGAATTGTATTGCTTTCATTCTTTGAAAATGGGACTACAATTGGTCGGGACTGAACAATTGTGAAGTTCTATTACATCATGAATGAATTGGTGAAGACCTTTGACTAAGTTTGTTGTGTGGGTGAGATGTAGTCTGAATTCTTTCGCCTTCTTGCTTATAATCGTAGATTTGAGGCAATTGGATGATGGAATTGGGGGCATCTGTTGTTGTTCTATAGGGTCTTCTTTAATTGCTAATTGCAATTTGTCAGCAAGTGTTAGTAAAGATGTTGTTAAAGAGAAGTCAACACTGCTCTGTTTGGCAGAGGTATTAAATCTGTAACTCATGTGAACATTTATGAAAAATTCTCCTCCTTTTCTTGGATTTGTGAGGCTAGCGATCTGCAGTGTGATGCCTTCAAATAGCTTAAGTGGTTGGTTGTTGGGGCTTGATTGAGAGGCCTAAGTTGCTCTTTTGACTCATCTCAAATTGTCATGTATTGGTGTTCTTTTTGTTAAGCTTTGAGGTGTGAAGTTCTGTATCAGACCGTTTCAGTGGTAATTCAGCAGTGTTCAAAATCATGTTAATTACGTAGCTAGCACAAGAAATGAGATCTATTTGTATAAATTGGCCACTTGATTTATGTCTTGGTGATACCTCAACTCTCAATGTGATGCTTAATTTATGTATTCAGCCTTTCTTGAAGAATCGGATTGCTTGCTTTCCCCCTGTACAGATTTTCAGTATTGCTTAATGTACAATTGCCATTCTTATCAGGGACTTTACCGGGCCATGACGCAATACCATCCCCAGTACATTCTATGGGCTGCTATTGTAATGTTATCATCTATGTTGTCATTCTTGGTTCAACAATGATGATGCTTAGTGTGGGTTGGCAAACCACGCAATTCTGCATCCCCATGAACACTTACGACACAAATCAAACATTCCCCGTTGCTGAAGTCTGTTTATAATGGTTTGTTCTTAGCACTTTCAGTTTCTTTCTTGCCTGTCAAGAAATTTATCTTCAAACACTTTGGATTAACATGTATATAGTTTTTGTATGGAATCCGCAGGGTGAGAGTACTGATTGAATAGGTGGGTTCGTGTGATTTGGTGCTAGGAATTGGTAGGTCAGAGCAAGAGAATTGATGCTTTTGCAGGTTCGTTGTATACTACATTTGTCTTTCCTTTTAGATTTTTCTTTTTGGTTCGTCCTTTGGTTACTTGTGTTTTTATAAGTCGGCTGTGGAGGGTACAATTTCTATGTCTGGCTTACCTCTTTGCAAACCCCCAATCTTTTTTCTTCTCAGTCTTCGTGTTTGGTTTATTTACTGCCTCGGTTGTGTGAGTCAGACTTTTGGGGAACTCGATGAGAGGGGTCATTGAACTGCCGGACTTGGTCTGGAAAATTCATGATATGTATTTATGTTTCTTCGCACTAAATCTGTTATTCCTTTGAATGGGTAAAGTACATCGGGTTTGATTCGGATTCGATACTGTTAACTGTGCTGCTATTTGATTCCTCTCCTTTGTTGTCAATCTGATGTCACAAGTTTAAGGGCAGGTATTTGTGCAATTGTGTTTGGTAGGCAAATGGTGTCTTTCATAGGCTATTTAGTTTCATTTTGGGATCTAAACCAAGTCAGACTTGAACACTGAACTTAGAGAGCGTCTGATGGATTATTTCCTGTTTACATATAGAAATTCTCCATTGGTCTTGACATGTCTTTTTTTTATGATCTAATTATAGTAGATTCTCTAGCCTTACATCTTGGATCCATTAACATGTATAATCTCGGCGATGTTTTTTTCATTAATTTTAATTTTAGTTGTTAAACTTGGTTCGGTTTGTTTGCATTAGCTTAGCACTTCCTGAATAGAATGGAATTTGAAAATATACTAGCCAAACTTGCTTATTCACAAAATAAAAAATGACTTGGATAGATACAGAGTCGTATATATATGAAGAAGCTTGCTCTAAAACATCGTGCTTGGTCCATAATCACTCATCGATTTAGAAGGTTCTATAATTGATGGATTGGAAGTAACTATGAGGTTGTTTTGTGGTAATTAACTATGACCAACGCCATAAAGATGGATGGACATATTTTCAGAGCTATTACCTAAGTCTATTTGCGATGGACAGGATGTATCGAAGACTTGGTGCTTGTGAGGATACTGTTGAGATTTTATGGTGGTCAGATGAGAAAACTAAAGTGTGCTTTTAGGCTTCAACTTAATTACGGGAAGCCTTCCGTCGTGATGATATATGCAAGTAAGGTTAGAGTCCAGTCTTCTTTGTTTTCATTGTTCTAGCTTGGGAATGGTTTTGAATTGGTAGATAGGCCCTGTGGATCCCCAAGAACATTAGGTGGTTGGATGATGAGTTACTAGATCTACAATGTTGAAACCGTTCTGATTTCGCGTGCCTGTAGATTCCTTTTTATTAAATTTGGCCTATCTTTGCAACCTGTGAAACAAAGTGTGTGATGATGCCGTTGCTGATTTCTTATATGGAAATTGTGAATCTTCTTCCATTTGCAGGCTGTGAAATAAATTATGCAGTTCTGAATTCTAGGACTTTATGAAATGGACTCAGTTTGGTAGAGTTTTCTTTTCGGTATGGTTGTGTTGGTGTTACTTTCCTGTAGCCATAATCTCTTTTTAAAAAGGAAGACCAGAAAGCTAGCCTTCCCAACTGAATTGCAAAACTAAAAAAAGTCGAAGACCGTGCATTCCCAGTCCACATATATATGCTTCATTATGTGTTTGGATGACAAGATGCACAATTCATGAACTAACTAATAAGAAAACCTATTGTGCATTATTCTTAGGAAAGGAGAATGCTTAGAGAATGCAGCAGCCGAAAGAGGGGAGTGCGAAGAGAGTAATAGGGTTGCCGAACTGACTTACACTGAGAGAGGAAGAATGAATAGAATACGGAGGAAAAGGAGAAGATGAGTTGGTAGAGGAGGAGAAAGACCCACATGCTGCCAGCACAATTTCCTTGTTTCCCGCTTCAGTTTTGAGGATCCGGTACTTCCTCCTCCCTCACCGCTCTCGCATTAAGAACTCTTTAGCATTATTGGTATTGAAATTGGAACTGGAAGTTTTTAGCCATATATATAAATATAGGGGTGTGCAACGGTTCGGTCCGGACCGGACCAAACTCATGAGAACCGCGGTCCATTGGTGACATGCATGTTAGGACCAAGGACCAGACCATTCTTGCATTTGGTCCTGTTCGGTCTGGTCCAAATATGAGTTGGATCCACCATTTCTTCAGTAATTATAAAATTCATGAGGACCAAGGACCGGACCGCATTTTACTTGATCTTGTTTGGTCCGGTCTTAACAATGTTTGGTCCGGTACGGACCGGACATAACAGGGGAAATGCAAGGTGTTTGAAAGGACGTGATTCTTCTTCTTTCCTTAAATTCCTTCTCTTATAGATTTGATGCTATTTTATTTCACATACTAAGTAGACTTGAAAATATCGTTGCGTTGTTTACAATCGTTCGTGGTTTTTGTGAAAGAGAATGACCATGGGTTTGCATTCCTGGAAATAGATAGAGATATCATGTGTACACCTATTCTGTATCGTTGTCAATCGAGATATACTGTCTCAGGTTGTAACATGCTGGAACTGTTCTTTCCCGCATGTTCTTTCTAAGTATATTAATTTTTTAGAATTTGATGCCTTTGGTAGAATTTATTGGTGTGTGTTCGAGTTCAGTTCCAGCTTGCGTTGGAACGAAGGCTTCCTGCCATGCTCAGTATAGTAATGTGAAGCAAAATACACCAATAGTACTTCAAATTGGTTTGAAAGGAGGTCATGCTGTCTTAGGGACTTGGTGTAGTTGTTCATAGGTCGATTTTGCTACAGATACGATCCGATATGATCCTCCATGCTTTTCCACTTATTTTGAAGAGGAAATGTTTCGAGCTGACAGTACCAAGACAATTATGGACCTCATCCGCCTTTCCAGAAATCCAATGGTTGACGTGCGTTCTTTTGTCATAACTTTTACTGTCACAGCACTGTGTCTTATTACTTCATGGCAGGTTAAAGCATAATCTGCACTATTAATGTAGCCAGCCATTATTTTCATGCTTCCAAATTTATTCTGCCTCACCACTAGATGGATCTGTTTTTCCAGTCCCTTTTCCCAGTAAACTAACAAATTTCTTGCCTGCTTAGCTAAATTTTCTCACCAGTTTTGTTTACCTACAGGCTACCCAGTACTATTGTTTGGCGCAAGTCCTCTCCACTGAGGCTTCAAGATCATGGTTCTACTTAGGATGTGCCTTTTGCTTTAAGACAGCTAGGGAATTTCCTGGCACTGGTGATTTTTTTTGTGAAGAACATGGCCAACTAAAGGCTGAAGAAACCGAACATTGGTTAGTTTAAAATCCACCTTTTCCCCATCAGTCAAGTGGGCACGCCCAATTCAACCCTGAAATTTTAATACACTTTTACAGCTACAAAATTCATTTGGCTGTCGGAGACACTACTGGTTCGGCGTGCTTCGTCGCACTTGGAAAGACCGCTGAATCTTTGCTTGGAGTTACAGCAAACGAACTATTGTTGCAGCATCCCCACCGCCATGGCCATTTCCCTCCGGCAATTGTGGCCATGAATGGATGTTGGTTTCCGTTTTGTGTGCAACTCCCTAAACCTAGATATCTGGCTCAGACTCCTCTGGAGTTTACTATACTTTCTGCATTCGACCGCAGCCAGCTTTAACAATAAACTAATGAAAACGTCAACGCTTGCGCAGAAAGTCATTGTGCTCGACCGTTGTCTTACCTATATTATCCCAGTATTTAGCAATATTTGCACTTCAACATCAACAGACTTATGTATCCGCGATGTACGTACAAACTATTCACATGCACAATGACTCCGCTTTTTCGCTTACAACTCTCCATTCCCACAATATAGTCTCCCCGCCGCAGAGTGCGGGCTTCTTTACTAGTCTCTTTAATAGTGCACGAAGCAAATTATTCCACTCGACCGCACCCTTAAAGTAGTGCATTGTTAGTGGTTTTGGTTGAAAATCGCAATAATAGTAGCCTTTGTTATCATTTCATTTGTGTTGTCAAAAAAAGCACTTGTGGGAGGGTCAAACTTGACATATATTGCAATTTGCAAGTACCACCCATTTTTTTCAAAGAAAAGCACTTGTCTTTTGCAGTGTCCATTAAACCGTACCGTATCGGCGGTTGAACCACTTAATACCAATATCGGAGGCCAAACCGATATGCGGTATTTACCGGTATAACGGTTGAACTACGGTTAAACCACGGTTTTACCATAAAATATCTTACCGCTAACTTTTCCGGTACGATCTCCGGTACGGTTTCATGGACTTTGGTCTTTTGTCCAAATTGTTCCCCACTCTCCCGTCTGGAAATGCTCTTCTTCATCTAAAAACTATAAAATGGACAATGTCCCAAGCGACTCCGTCCCTCAAATTTGCCTTTGCTTTCAACAATCATGAAATTTCCATCCTCCTTGCTCTCCCTAACTCGGTTCCTCCTCCTCCTCCCATTCTTCTCGTCTGCGTGGTTAGACTTTTCAGTCGCCACCAACACCCAGCCGCAGCCGCAGTACCACGACTTACTCCACTGCCTCTGCTCCCAAGAAGACGCCATCTGCAACCTCATTTACACCGCCCAGAACTCCACCGCATACGCCTCCGTCTTGCAGTTCTCCATTCGAAACCCCAGATTCAGCAACAACAACGCCTCCTCGTCGTCGTCAAGAACAAAACCCATCGCCATAGTCACTCCCACAACCATCCCCCAGGTCCAATCCACCGTCCTCTGCTCCCGCAAGCACGGCCTCCACCTCCGCGTCCGAAGCGGCGGCCACGACTTCGAAGGCGCGTCTTACGCCTCACTATCCTCCCCTTTCGTCCTCCTCGACCTCGTCAATCTACGCAGCGTGACCGTGGATGTCCCCTCCAAGTCCGCCTGGGCCCAATCCGGCGCCGTTCTGGCCGAAGTGTACCACAGCATCGCCTCCGCGAGCAGGACGCTCGCCTTCCCCGCGGGGCTCTGCCCCACCGTCGGCCTCGGCGGCCACATCAGCGGCGGAGGGTACGGCACCACGCTGAGGAAGTTCGGGATGGCCGCGGATAACATCCGCGACGCCCTGCTGGTCGACGCGGACGGCAGGGTCCTGGACAGGGCTGCGATGGGGGAGGACGTCTTCTGGGCGATTCGCGGCGGCGGAGGCAACACCTACGGAATCGTCGTCTCGTGGAAACTGAAATTGGTACGAGTCCCGCTCCGACTGTCCGCGTTCACGGTCTCCAGAACTGCGTCGTCCGACGCGGAGATGACGAAGCTCGTCGACCGGTACCAGCGCGTGACGGACAAGCTGCCGGACGATCTCATGATCCTGGTGATGATCGGCGCCGTCGATCAGGGTAATTCCACCAAACAGGTACTACAAGCTGCATTCCAGGTCATGTATTTGGGGGGAAAAGAAAGATTGTTGAGGGTAATGAATGAGAGCTTCCCGGAGCTGGGATTGAAGGAAGAAGATTGCAAGGAGATGAGCTGGATCGAGTCGGTCCTTCACTTCGCCAATTACCCGAGCAACTCCACCTACGACGTGCTGCTGAAGAGCAGGACGGACTCGCCCATCTCGTTCGCAAAGCTGAAAGCGAAATCGGACTACGTGGGCACCCCGCTCCCTGAATCGGCGTTGCAGGGGATCTGGAGCAGGGTTCATCAAGTGGAGGCAGGGGCGGCTCTGCTCCATCTCATTCCTCACGGAGGGATGATGAGCCGAATCTCGGATTCCAGCACTCCCTACCCATATAGAGCCGGGACTGTGTACAAAATCCAGTACTATGTGGCATGGTCGGGTGAACAGAAGGAGGTGGAAGAGAGGCATTTGGGATGGATAAGGAAGCTGCACGAATTCCTGACGCCGTTCGTTTCCAAGAACCCGAGAGGAGCGTACGCGAATTCCAGGGATCTGGACTTGGGGATGAATGATCCGACGGGGGAGACGAGCTACGAGCAGGCCAGAGTTTGGGGGGAGCAGTATTTCAAGCATAATTTTGAGAGGTTGGCTCGGGTGAAAGCCGCCATTGACCCTTCCAATTTCTTCAGGAACGAACAGAGCGTCCCTCCTTTGTCCATGTGATTTTTCATGATCGAGCCGGTTTGGATTGCTCGACCGACGCTCTGGTTTTGGTCCGATTATGCTTTCCATTTTTCAGCGTGTTTCTGTAGTATTAAAACCTTTTTCAAAGTTATGGTCCAAAAGGTTTTTGGAGGTATTGCACCTAGTAAGACAACTAAACATTGAAGACACGATATAATAATAAAAAATGTGACTTGGGAGCATGGTTGTCACGCCGGCCGGCGTGCCACTGGTTGAACCTGGTTCAACCTGTACCGGTTATAAAACCGGCATGACACAACCGGTATGACCGGCATGATCGATATACGAATCTCCAAGTAAAATGATCTTATCTTAGTGAATTTAATTGATAAAAAATAATTTATTATTTATTTTATGTGTTAAAAAGTTAAATGTTGATGTTATTTGTTGGATCCAAGTACAAATATTTAGGTATTGACGTTTAATGTCGTGTTTAAATATGAGTATTTGTAAATTATTTATAATATTAACCGGCATGAACTGGCACAAACCGGTATGTACCACCGGTCGAACCATTCCACTTGCTAAACCGGCACACTGGTATAAACCGGTTTGACAACCTTGCTTGGGAGTCTTTCTTATATGGTAGATTACTGATATTTCTTTTTTGAGAAAAGTCAAACTGATATTTCGAGACTTACTGTTTTGCCAATGAATTATTGGTCCTTTTTTAGAAAGTCAATGATATAATAAAATTGTGTATTGTCAAGTTTTACGGTTTGATTTCCTTGTGCAATAGAAAAGTCTATGATCGGCTTTGGTAGAGTGATTGGTAAAGGCAGCACCCTTAGTGCGAGTGGCCAATTAAAAAATAATTATTGTTTAGTTAACTACGGTGTATATCACTATAAATATGTTGCAAGGAAAGAATTAGTAAAATCACAAAAAATAGATAGATGTGGGAGATCTCCACGGGCAATATGCACTCGTTGACAGATAAGATTATGAATAAGAGCAAGATTTACATATTTGGAGCTCGACAACTGCTAATTCAATATTACAAAGTTTATGCGTTTGAAATAAAAAAGAACAAAAGAAGAAAAAGATTGAAGAACGTAGATTATGTTTCTTTTAGTTTCGAGACCACTTCCACCCTCTTAATTTGGAGTAGGAGATTTCTATATGGCCTTCCTATTTGAGCTCAAATACGAACATATAGTTTGATTATTACACAACAACAAAAAATACGTTTAATGAATGATAACGCATATTACAATATGTCTCCATGAATTTGCTATTTGTTCTCGAGCGAGATTACTAATGATGTAAACCCAAATACAAACAAATAGATCGATTTTGTCACAACAATAACAACAAATACGCTTAATAAATAATAACACATAATATTATGAGATATGAATAAAAGAAAAGAAAAGGGATTAGGAATGGAAAAGAACAAATAAGAATGACACATTCTTGATAGTTCAGATTTCCTAGTGGCAATGCAGTCAAAAGCACGATTCCACTTAGAAGCGAAAAATGGGTAAAATCGTAAAGCGTAGAATCAAAGCGTCAAAGCTTAAGTATTTTACGCATACTGTAAAATAGCTAAAAATCTGTTAAGTACGACGTATACTATGTAAAATATGAGTGCACAGAATTGAGATAAATTAATAGATACCTGTAAATGTAATTCATGTCTAAAGTAGAGCAACTCATAGCATCTTAATAATAAGTTCATAAACATAGATCTTAACAAAAAGTCATCTTCCCCTCTATGCTAATGAATTTGGGTTGGGCCTAGCTAGTGAATTAGATTACTCTATTAAAAATTTATCGTATTATTGGTTAATTACCTTTAAAATATACTTTATATAATTAATTTCATGAAAAGAATACCCATTTAGTGAAATAGAAGGTAAAAGCGTTTTGGTGAACTAGAAGCATAAATGCATAAGCTTTTAAGCTTTAAATCGAAATTTAGTTCGATTTTATACACTAAAGATTTTATATGAAAACGAAAGCGTTTCGGTGACCTAGAAGCGTAAAACCATAAGTTTTTTAATTTTAAAACGCTAGTTTAACTGCATTGGCTAGTGGTATTTGCCCTAACACTTATTCATATTGGAGACTTAACAATCTTAAAGTTAGATTCGGGGGAAAATTAATTCAGATGCCAAGTTAGTGTAGAATGGACAATAATGAAAATTCTATTGTGCAATAATGTCCTAGAACTCTACTTGACATATTAGCACTTCACCTGAATAACAAATTTGATATGATGGTGGTATAGTCTTAACCATTATTGTACGTTAGATCATTCATGTGAGTAAGGACATCACTAATGACTAATGAGTATAAACAATTAATTCTATCGAATAAGGGCTTAATCTAGTGGTATTGTCACTGGTCTTGGACCTGTAGGTCTCAAGTTTGAATTTCTTAAGTTGCTATAATTGTTCATACTTAGCCCAGCCACTGAGAATCATAGTTTCAGGCATAACATAGTAACTTTGAATTTCAAGGTCGTGAAATATTGATATGATTCATATGTCAATACTTTATGAAATTAGACGACCCACAGCGATTGAAGATTGAACAATTAAACTATCATTGAATAAGTAGGCTAAATACTGAGCATTTGTTACACCGTGGCTAAGCTAGTTGATAACATCGGATTTGCACAAGTTTGCACCCTCGTTTCTTGATCATTTTGGCTTGAGTTTCTGCTTTCTTGGACTATTTTACGCTAGGTTGTGTTCCTTTGTCACATTTCAGGTCCTAGCATGTAAATTGAAGCATAGGCGCAAGTTTCAAGTCAATCGGAGATCATTTGGCAATTCGGGAGAAGAAACACGAGCATGACCTGAGGAATAATGGACTTCTACCTCATATTATGGACAAATAATCATGGAATTTTGTCATGAAAAGAAATAGGACGAGAATACGAGCGTCTAGGATCAAACGGCGACTGATTCGGAGTCCGGAAGAGGGAGAAATGAAGAATTAAACAGAGGCTGGGTAAGCCACACGGGCATTCTGGAACTCCACACGGCCGTGTGGGTCGTGGCCGTGTGGAATTCACCGAGCCTTCACACGGGCAGCTGGGAAAGCCACACGGCCGTATGGCCTGGCCGCGTGATCGGAAATTTATGTTTTAAACCCGATTTTCAGCAAAAGGAAATGGGAGAGCTGGGTTTTTGGTTCCCAAACACCCAAGGGACGAACCCTAGAGAGAGAGCGACTTGGGAACATTCTTGGAGCTATTTTGGAGGATTTCTTCGCCATTGGAGCTCGGGAATCAAACATGGAGATGGAGATTGAAGATCTAGATCAGATTTCTGCAGTCTCTCTCTTCTCTATGGAGTAACTTCCCTTCACTTAGGTTTTGAAGAACCCTAGTTCCATGTGTTAGGATCTTTCTTGTATGAAGTTTTGGATGCTATATTGTTTGATTATAATCGATTAAGGCATGATTTATTGAGTCAATTGAATCTTGATCAAATTCTCTTGATTCTGCTTTAACCTATGATAGATAGAATCTGATTAGGTTAAGAGAGCTTCCTTGATTGATAGTGGTGAATTGGTTGTGCGAGAGTCAATCAATTCACTGCTTTGTACTGGAATTCATTCCAGTAGTGAAGTTCTGTGTTCATAGCCTCAGCTTTCTATCCTGGTGAAGACTAGTCGTCTGCCGGGTAGTTGGACTGAGAGGGCTTGGTCAGCTTAAGAGATTCCAAGCTAATTTAGGATCTTCCGCAGTTTAATCAAAAGTAGATCAACCAAAGGTAATTGCAACTTGGACCTAATTGAGGAGCTAGGGGGAATTATACCTAAGTGAGTTCCCAACTTGTAATTAGTAGAGTAGTTAGTAGAGTAGTTTAGTTCATCAATCCTTAATCTAGTTTGCTAGATAATGAACCGAAGCTGAGTAATAGTAACTCTAGATACCCGTGGATTCGATATTTATTACTTGTACCACTATACTGCAGTCCCTTTCATTGGTTACACTTGGCCATTGTTAGGTGTTGTGTTTTAGCGTGTCACTAGTCTTAGCAAAGAGATGATAATCCTAGATTACATGTTGAGCTCCTATGAAAAACCCTATTCCGGTTAGTTACATTAAGAACTAAAAGAATTGATACTTTGTAAAGAGTGTGTTACACTAACCTTGAAATATAGAAATCTAAAATATTTGGGGCAAACATTAAATCGGCAAAATGAATAATATAAACTTATTCAACTCATTCATTGTGAAAGCGCACTAAAAATTGAATCGCATAACTTAACAAAAAGTATTTATTAATACAATACAACTAGAGGTGTGAAACGGTTCGGACCAAAGCAGACCAAACTAATGTAAACCATGCTTCAATAATCAATAGTGAAAGACATGTAGGTCTAGACCAACATTGCACACACTAGTGTTGCACTGGTTTGATTTGATCCAATCTAAATGACAACTCACTCCACTCCAGTATTTGTAAAAGTCACGAAAACCAAAAACTGTACCATATTATATTCGGTTCGATATGATCCGGTTGATCCGGTGCGGTCGCGTACTAGGCAAACCGTTGCACTACTTCTAAATACAACCATGGTTCCACCAATAGCATACTTGTATCAAATAAAATATATAATCATATTGGTTGTTATCACAGCGGGCTGTCATCCTAGCCGTATAAACTGGTCAACAAAAATTCTTTATAATGTCTGTACTCCATACTGGTTCGATTAGGATGTGATTTTAACCGCCTAACCAACCGATACAATATGATCAGAATACCCATTGTCCGGCCAACTGACTAGGTATAATATGATAAGATTAACATGTTTGTACTCTAATGTGAATGAATTCACTTCCAATATTAACATTTTGATATGAAGAAACATTACCAACCCGACATTACAAGTATGAAGAGGTTTGGTTTCATCCAGCGTATCATCTCCATATTGGGAAATGCAGTCTTCTCTCTGGTCTCTTCCAACCCTCCACAAACCCTGAAAATTGGGATGGAAGACCAAGATTTCCACACATTTCCACCTTCCCCCACAATCATTTTCGGTGATGGGTTTCGGTATCCCTGAACTCACCAGTAACCCTGTCGAAAAGGTTTGCACACTCATCATCACCGTTCTCACCACGACAAACTAATGACATAACAAGCACTGAAATACTATTTTTCATACCTGTTGTATGACAAGTAGGCGTCGCCTATGGTTCCCACGACCTTGTTTCGGACCTTCCGAACACAAATCTGCAGAAAAATCAAGAATCGTGCACGCAAAAGGCCCACCATATAAGCTTATAAGTTCGTTGTGTACGCGCAAAACCGGAATTTTCAGCAAGCAGCCCAACGCACCTGGACTTGATCAATGTCCCCAGCCTCTGGATTTCTGTTGCGATGAATGATGATCCCATTATCACATTTGTTTATGAAATGTGCACTCCCGCTTATATCATACATATTAGGGGGGCCTCCGATCCAGTTGTGCAGCTGATTGTTGCACAAAACAATGCATGTAATGTGAATAAATATCATAAACCCAATAGTCAAACGTTAAGATAGAAGAAAAATGCCCATATTACCTGTCTGGGATGTGCAACGAACCACACATGACATGAATGGTGCTGAGCAAATCTTTTTACCAGAGTCAGCATCTGACTCACGTACTCTGTTTCGGTCCTAATCACAATTAAGACGCACGTTTAGTATCAGGAGTTTAGGAATCATTTAACCAAATTGAGTTTAACAATCAGCTATTCCAAAGTCTTGATTTGGAACCAGTATTTCCATTGGTATATACCAGTCAACCACGCTCATAAACCATGGCATACACCATACCCTAAAACTTCAAACGAAGAGAATTCGGCAAGGAGAAATTCTCACATATTAGGTGGCCGCTGATGATCAAGTTCGTTGTAAGGATCAATTACAAGCCCACGGACACCATATCTAAGGACTGCTGCTTTCGCCAGACTAAGAACCCATCTTATGTTTGGAAGTGCATCATCTTCGCATCTGTTACAGAGATGCCAACTCAGATTAGCATTGCAAGCAAAGAGAGCAAGCAAGCAAACGAAATTACTTGTTAGAATTAGAAAGTTTTATAAAAGATGGGAAACTCTAAACATTTTGCCCGTACTGTTCAGGCTCTGGGAACTTCCCAAGTAACATTTTCCTTGCATGTTTTGAGTTACCTTATCAGGTAGAATGTATCATTCAACCACTGCTTCCCACGCTCATACTCCATGACATCAATTCTTTCCGCAGATTCGCCATACCTATGATGGACAGGAAGAAAAGTCTACCAAATTTTTGAACAAGCAAAAGGGTGACACCCAAGAGAGACCCTAGTTAAAAAAAAATACCACTCCAAGAAATCTCTACATGATTTCACAGTACATCAAACATTAACAATGATAATAGATCCGCCCCTAAACAGTGATCTATGGTTATACAACTTACTGGGATGAGTAACAAGAGAAGAAAAACAATGATAAACAGGAAAGCATGTTGAAATCAAGCTAGTAATAGCACAAGAATTGCAACAAGAAACAACTTGCAAGAAAAATGGAGTGGGGGATGGACATAGGTTAGAACAAAAAAAAACTTCAGCAATAAATAACACCAACTCACGGAGCATCGAAAAATGGCTTTCTAACATATTTCTCCATCAGCTTCCTCGCATGGTCCCGAACCTACAAAAGATACAAGATGACGATTAACAGTGCCACTACTTACAAAGACCCCATAAACCACATATAATTGCAAGGTTGAAAAAGGCCCATAAGCAGCAATTAGAATATTCTGCACCAATATATGTGAGACTTCTGATTGACAACAAGTATCTTAAGTATAGCCATTTCTTTCCAGCAGAGTAGCTTTCTCGGTCTCGTCATCGGAGTTAATGTTCTTTAAGCCTGTTATAGCTAGCAGGTCTTATTACCAGAAGCAAACATTATGACTACAGAGCGTCCATATTCAAGATTAGTCCAAAGCGAAGTTATCCTTCCAGAACGGGACAAACTAAACTATAAAATGTGCAAATTTCATACTGGCAACTCTCAACATTCAAAGTAAATAGCCTTTATTACTGCAAAAAAACACAGAAAATCAGTAGTCTATAGCTTACCTTGTTCTCCATAGAGCAAAGAGCAAATTTCCAGTCAGCACTTTTATTGAGGTTGCATAAGAGAGCATCAATCCACTCACTCTTGCCAGAATTCGGAACCCCGCTTACTATCGTCAACTCTCCTGGCAAAACCTGCAATGGAAGAGGTTTAGAACTAAAATCTGCAGCAAAATATGCATACATCCTCATTTTATTTTTTCGCCACAGTTTTTGCATCAAACCGGGAAAAAGCATTCTGAGAGTGCACTTAAATCTTTGTTAACTGTTTCATGATAATAATGCCGAGCTCTAACGTAACATTCGTCAACTGCTTATATCCATCAAACGCATGTTCATGAACATTGGTTTGAAAATACAGACAATCCAAGAAATGCAATAGCACTGAGTCAAAGGAAATTCTTCTTACACTGTACAGCCCATCCAAAGACCTCCATCCTGTTGAGACACCAAAATGGTATCCTTGAGTTTGATGGTAATATGAGTCAATTTCATCAAAGAAATCTCTGAAGAGGAATAATCCTTTAATGGGATATAGTTCAGCATCATCAATTGCATCCTTCACTGCTTGAGGGCCCAAATACATTAGCACCTACAAGTAGAGTTGGAAGTATAATTACGGAGGTGCCCACAGAAGAAAATATTTCACCGAAGCAGTCTAATGGCCTGCTGTGAGACCTCATTTGCATCTTTGCAATAACTATCTTCATTTTTCCTTGGCCATTTGACTCGCCAGCATCTGCATTCCCAAACAAAGATAACAGTAAGACAACAATGTAGCTTAATAATTAAAATTACAAGCACCACATGGATAAATGATACAACATTATTGGCAGACATAAGCTCCTCTACCTTTCTCTTCCCAGACGCCGTGCAAGCTCTTCTGCCAATGCTTGACCAGGAGGGTCTCCATCAGTAGCAAGTATGATTCGAGATGCCTATTAGGGTGGTTGTGGTGCAATATGTTATACTGTGGTATATTGCTTAAGTTAGGTGCACTAAGAAAGAAGACATCAGTTTTTTACGAACCTGCTTCAAATAATCTTTGCAATTCCAAAGATACTGATACTTCGTGTCCTAGCTTCACAAAATACATGAAAAGGTATATCAATTACAAAACTAAGTTGAAAAACTGTCATTATCCTTCCATCTGAAAGCATGAAAATGTGTCAAGATAAGTTCACTAATAGAATCTACGAAACTTTGACATCCTGGGATTCACATGCATGGATCCTAATCAGCTTCCACGACTATAAAGGTTGTTGCAATCAAACTTCAGCTACTCCAGCAAATACAGATTGAACAGGTCAGTAATGTTTAAATTAATCAGAACAAATAAAACACTGATTATAATAGCAGTTAGTTACTAGATTTTGCATTGCCATCAGATAACAGGAACAAGGGAAAGAACCAAATAAGTCGCAATATTAGTTACCAGATGTTGTACAAACCTGGGATTCGGGTGGCAAATCCTTGGACGAAACCAATGGAGGGGCCCCATCAGGCACACTCACACAATTCCGGAATCCAGCCTCTTCCATTGCAAGCTTGTCCATTTCACCTTCAACCTAGATGCAAAAACAGATAAGCACGTCTTATAATATAGACAACTGCAAAAGCCTCCATTGAAAACTTGCATGGAGTATACATACAATGATAATATCATCAGCCCCCTTAATGTCATCCAGCCCATAGAATATCTTTTCGGTATCCTTTTCCTGAAATAAAAGCATGCAACCAAAGGATCACAAAGGAGGTTACCATCAAAACCTTTAACCAGAAAAAGTTTTGCAATTATGCTAGGTATACATCTACCAAGAAGAGGTAGAAGCTTAAAAAACGATTAAGATTGACAACCCTCATAACTTAAAAGCTACTAATATACATTAGGGCTGGGAAACGGTGCGGTCTGGTCCAGACCAGACCATATATACGGTCTACGGTCCAGACCGAGAGGCTAAAGTACAGACCACAGACCAGACCACAGACTATACGGTCTGGTCCAGACCACGCCTGTGCGGTCTGGTTCGGTCTGGTCTGGTCCAGATAGACCACACTCAACGAAAAATGAATAATTTGTTTAGTCAACCACACAAAAAATTGAACCAATAACAAAGAAAAATAATTGTTATTTGCCTTAAAACATTAATCCTAACATGCATGAATAATTTTGATACTCTAAATCTTAGTACATAACAAAGATACAAAGTAAAAGCATCTCAGCTTGCACCATAATATCATAAACATTAACATAATGTCATATGGAGACACGATTATCTCTACTCTGTGGTAAAATGTGGTTGTGAATGAAGGAGGGAAGAGATTCACAATATTAAGGTTGAGACTTGGGTGTGTTTGTGGGAGTTTGGAGAGTGGTCGAATGGGTTGTTAACACGTATTGACAAGTCAGTTGGGTCTACGGTTTGGTCCGGTAAACCGCGGTCTAGACCAGACCAGACCAAGAGATCAAATCATAAAATAATACAGACCATGGACCAGACCAGACCATACTTCACGGTCTACGGTCCGGACCAAACTGTGCGGTACGGTTTGGACCACGGTTTTTCTAACGGTCTGGTCTATTTTCCCAGCCCTAATATACATTAGCGCCATTCTGATCCATGAAAGTTACAGCAGAAATAAAAAGTCCGGAGAACAGAGTATAAAAGACCAAAAACCCCATGATTTTCACGAAGAAATAGAACAAATCAATGCTTTTCTAGTAATACTCATCAGACGAACCTGCCAGAATTTCTTGTGAATGTCTCGATACTTGCAGCTTACCAGTCTCCCATTTCTTCGATAAGTAAAAGCAATAACAATCTGCAGAGCAAATGCAGGCAATTATAAAATGTACAAGCACCCTATTTCAACCCACTTCATCCTTATATCAAACATCCCACGGAAAAAGGGAAGAAATAACCAGAGTCAATACAGCACGAGAACATTATCAAACAGTAAGTTGCATATTAAGTTGGGTGTATTTCTAGGACAGACATGGTTCAAAGATATAATCAGCTCGAAGCAGGATTGTCGTGTTTCAGATGTTCTTGTCTTCTTTTTACTCAAACTTCAAGTGGCAAATAACTGAGTGGTTGTAATAATAATAATGCATAAGAATAACCACGTTAGTTGCCAGAGAATAGTACTGAAACCTGACTTTGATGGATCTTAGTCTTGCTAATGACAGAACAAAGATTGTTATTGCAGCCTCCACAGTAAATTTTCTAGTTAGGCTGATGAATTTTTTTTCTGCATAGTGAACTCTCGGTCACTCGTGACAACAAAAAATGTCAGTCAGAATGGTACAGGTTCCAAGGGAAAATATGCTCAAGATCACTTCTTTTCTTCCATCTTTGAAGTTTGAACCATAAATCCTCTCTTTACTCTCTAATAAAACATATCTTGCTATGGATTCTCAACGCCAAATTAAAATGAAGCGATGGTAATAGCTCTACCGATGAATAAAAACAACTATAGGAACTAACTTGCACAAAGCATCGCACCTGATTGCCATAAGCCTTCTGCATAACACGATTTCTCACCAAAGTTTCACGAGATATGTCCCGTTCTTTGAAGTAACCAACAAGCTGCAAGCAAAAATATATTTTGCCCCTATTATGATGCTTTCAGCATGGTTGCATTTACCCAATTGAGGAATGAACTCATAGCTATACGAACATGACTGGAAAGACTTTAACTGTAAGACTAACAACCTCACTGCATAATGGTTCCAACTGCAGACTCTCCTCTGTAATTTCTCTTGTTTGCTTTTTGCGAGTACCTTGTTGGACTGGGTTTCTAGAGGTCGAACTGGTAGCATGCTGCTGGAAGTCAAAACAGGAGTCACAAGAAAGGCATCCAGAGATATATAAGAGTAAAAACAGGTACAAGAAATTAGCTTACTTTCGTTCCCCCAGTCCATCCACATTTCGCCCTATGACATATCCATGATGCTCTAGCACTGCATCGTCAACACATCCAAACTTACATTACTCATATTCAGAGAGAAAAAGGGAATTAGTTAGTAAAAGTGAAGCTGAAGAATACCCTTCAGCGTTTATGAGAATAGAGAAAGACTTCTCTCCTGAATCACCACCTTGGCACTAGCATACAACAAAAACTTGAGTCACAACCAGGAAACCTCAGAAATTTACCAAATCTTAATTGGTGGATCCGCTCCAATTTTCAAACTTCCAGTTCAACGTTTAAGTGTAATAGGTAACTAGATGGGGAAATGACAATGAAGCCTCTTATTTCAGGCTAGATTAACAGATACACTTTAGAAATTTCATCTAATAGCAAACCAAACGTGATCTTATCACAATAGGAACAATCCCTAAACACTAAGAAGTTAAAGCTTAAAGTTCCAGACTTGGCCAATTATTCTTGTCAGGCGACATAACTAAAAAGCAGTCAGAAATCAAAAGGAACAATACTGATTACTGAGGAGCTAGAAGCTCACCTTTGGACACAATAAGCCGCTATGCTGACCGGGGGATAAGTCATCCACTTCAATTCCACACTCTGCCAATTGATGGCGCAAGGCGTCGCTCTTCCAGCCCCCGCCCACCGCCAAATCAGCTGAAACTGAAAACGCAAAATTTTAAGACATATCCTAAAAGAAAATTATATACATCCGTACAACATAAGATCGCTACTCCAGGAAGGGTAGGGAGGGATTACCTGGTTTGGGAATCGGAAGAGTCGCATGCCCATTGGTGTAGAGGGAGCGAGAATTGTTTCTAGAAGTGGGTTTCGAACATAGCACTGGGAGCAAGCGCTTCCCGGCGCGGCATAGATTTGTACTGGAAGAAAATGGAGAAGGAAGAGGTTGGAAGAGAGGGACGGAAGCTGTGGCGGGTTTGGGCGAGAATTTGGAGCCCATGCGAGATATGGCAGAAAAAGCAACAGTTGAGGCCGAGGAGGAGGAAGAAGAAGAAGAAGAAGATAAGAAGGCTAGTTTTTTATAACGATTGGAATGAGCAAGACGGCGCATCTCTCTTTTGTCTTTCTTTGCCTGATAATTGGTTGGAGCTTCTTTTTCTTCAACCGGATTCCATGGCCGACGGACAGCAGAAAGGAGGGAAAACAGAGAAGATAGGAACCCTGAGGGCACAAGGGTTTTTTTTTTTTTTTTTTTTTTTGCCAAAAGATAATCGATGTATTGATTAGAAACAAAGGTAGTTACACCCTGGCATTAAGCCAGGCCAGCAGATTAAAGCAACGACTTGAAGTCGGGTACAACGAAAGAGCCTTTCTAGCCACCAAATGGGCTGCCCTATTACTACGCCGACCTACAAACCGGACCGAGAAACCTCCCATCGAACCCAGCACTCCCACAATCTCCTCAAGAAGCGCCCCCACTCTATTATCCCTAGTATTCGCCTGAGCAATCTTCTGAATAAGTACCTTGGCGTCCCCCTCAAAGCGCACCTCCGTAAACCCCGAGTCCCTGCACCAGAAAATCGCTTCACGAAGAGCAAGGGCCTCAGCCACCAACGGATCATCCATGCCTGCAAAATGCAACCCTCTGGCTACCAGGATGACCCCCAAGTGGTCCTTCACCACCATCCCTCCTGCCGAATGAGACGCTGCTTTAGTAGCCCCATCCCACAAGCAGATTATAGGACAGTGAGGAACCCCCATCTCCGGGGTATCAGGACCCCTCTGGGCTTGCTCCTTCGGCAGATTAATCCACTCCTGATACTGCTGGTGGTATTGCCTCATCAACGCCGGCAGCCCAAATTGCTTCCCTTCAAACACGACCCAGTTCCGGGACCTCCAAATTCGCCAAAGGACAGCCGTAACTGCCATAACCAACTGGTCTTGATGGAGGATATTAAGCAGTCTTTTCAGGAACAAGGGAAAAGTGTGACGAGGCAACCCCTGCCCGAGATGTTCCAACCCCGCGTAGTCCCAGATGGCGCGGGCCACGGGGCAATCCAGGAACAAATGCTCCAAGGTCTCAGATTCCGCCCAGCAAACAGGGCAACGGGGATGGACTTGGACACCTTTCTCAATCAGCGCTTCAGTGGTAGGAAGGAATCGGTTAAGAATTTGCCAAAGAAAGACCCTTAGCTTCGGGGGGATGGGGGCCTGCCAAACTCGAATCCAACTAGACCTATCCATCCAACTGACCGAAGAACGGCACCGATCCTCCATCCTCTCCAACTGACCCGCCAAATGATAAGCTGATTTCACAGTGAAAATACCATCCTGCGTGCCATGCCAGATAAGCCGATCCACAACATTGCTACGAGGGAGAGGAATCTCCTTGATGAGCCGACAGGTACGGGGATCAAACCACCGAGCCAAACCCTCCTCACACCAGGAACCCTCCTCCCTATCAATGACAGAAGCCACCCGCAGGACCTCATGATCTGGCAGCACACAGGGATTGAATGCAGGGATCTGAGGATGCAGGCTGGGGATCCAATTACTATCCAGAAGAGGGGCTGATTGACCATTACCAATTTGCCAGCGCAGGCCCTTGCTCAATAACTGGCGCCCAAAAAGGATACTCTGCCACCCCCAAGAGGGGCGAGACCTCGCCTGCGCCTCAAGGAAACCGCTCCTAGGAAAATACTTCCCTTTGTACACCTGAGCTAACAGCGAATCAGGTTCGCTTAAGATACGCCAACCAACTTTGGCTAACAATGCCTGATTAAAGTGCTCAAATCGTCGAAATCCCATCCCTCCCTCATGTTTACTCCGGCATAAATTCCGCCAAGACATCCATCTCACTTTGTCATGCCCATTCTCCACCCCCCACCAAAATCGAGCAACGTGTCTATCCAAGAGCCGGCACAGAGAGAGGGGAAGCTTGAAACATGACATAACATGCAGGGGAAGGGCCAAGGCCACCGACTTAATTAAAGTCTCCTTCGCCGCCCAAGACAAAGTGCGCTGCTTCCACCCCTGCAAACGAGCAAGGAGCTTCTCCTCCAAATACCTAAACGTCTCCATTTTGGACCGGGCTATAAGGGTAGGAAGACCCAAGTACTTGTCATGGACACCAATAGCCCCCACCCCCAGAACCTGCCCTAAGAACTCCTGATCAGGAACAGAAATGTTCTTGCTAAAACAAACTGCCGATTTGGTCAGGTTGACCCTCTGACCACTCAGCTCCTCATATTCATTTAAGACTGTGATCAGATTCTCGCACTCTTGGAGGGAACCACGGAGAAACAGGTAAGAGTCACTCTTGGAGGGCACAAGGGTTTAAGAAGGGCTTCTGCGTCAAATGACTTCGCCCGTTCTCTGTTTTGTGTGGCATTTATCCGGCCAGTGGTCAGAGCAAAATCTATGTTGTGGTTTTCCAAATAAAAAACGTAAATGTTTTTCTTCAGTTGCGACCAGAAAATAAGAGGAATAAGACGAACACTTCTTTCATATTATCTTAAAAATGGATTGTATTGAAAATGTGTGTTGCCTTGTGATAGGAAAGATCATTACTCCATACCTGTTGTACAGCAAAACACCTTATTGATTTTCATCATTTAAATGAAATTTTTTTGTAAGTGCGCCAGTAGTGACATTGCTAGGAAAGAAGTTTTGCACATTATTAATTAGTTTCATAGCTCTTAAAGGTGACAACGGTATCAAAGTTTTTTTTTTTTTGTCCAAAAGAGTTATTAAGGGGTCGTTTGGATGAATCAATTAAAAAACAAGACAATTTGGGTTTTTTTTTTATAACAAAGGAGGCCGAAGCCAAGAAAGAGAGTACAGAAGAGACTATCAAGAAGAGGAGGAGGTCGCCACAATCTGGCGCTCAAAAGTGACACCTATCACGTCATAATGCAACAGAGGAAGAACTCCAGAAGGCGGATCAACCAACTCATACATACCATAGGGATAGACGAGACTGTGCTTCGAGAGCCAGTCCGCGACTCTATTCCCTTCACGGTATGTATGAGCCAAGCTAACCAACCAGTCCTGTCCAATCTTCCTGCGAATAAGGTTCAAGAGAGTCGCGTAAGGATGAATGGGATCATGACGCTCCTGAATCAGCTGGATCGCAAGCTGAGAGTCCGAAACTAATTTCACCGCCCGGTGGCCGAGCTTCCAAGCGAGCTCTAACCCATAATAGACACCCCATAGTTCAGCTAGCACAGCAGATGCTGAGCCAATGCCTGCCACAAAACCTCCCAACCAGTTCCCTAGGGGGCCTCGCACTACTCCACCAGCGCCGGCAGGCCCCGGATTTCCAATGGAAGCCCCGTCGGTATTAACCAAAACCCAGCCTTCCGCAGGCGGCGTCCAACCCACATCGGCTCTAACCCGCACGGTCCCCTGCTTCTTGAGGTTGGAGAAAGGATCTGGGGCATGCCAAGAATCATTCCACAGCTTCGTCTTAACCATAATGGAGTGCAGGAGAGATGGAGCCGTCATCGCTGCACTAGGACCCTTAAAAGCTATAGTAGTACGGTTTTTCCATAACAGCCAACACGCCATGCTGAAAAAACCAGGCCAACTAATACCTGAGCTGCTCGACTCCTTGCTCAAGAGGTTGCTACGGAACCAAACCTCGTGAGTGGCGCTGAAGAAATCATGCTGCTTCTGATGCGGAACAACTCTGGACCAGAAGAACATAGCAGGGGCGCAGTTCCTCAGAATATGGAGAACCGTCTCAGGCTGATCAGTACATCGCAGGCACATAGGGGAATCCGCCACCTTCCTCTGAAATCTGAGGACATTGGTTGCTAACCTGCCCTGAATAGCCAACCAAGTAAAACACCTGACCCTCTCCGGCACTGGCAAACCCCAGATCACTTTCCAAATCTCATCCCTCGGCAGCATGGTAGAAGCAGACAGAACCCCATAGGCTGACTTGACAGAGAACTTCCCGTCTGTTGCCGCCGACCAGAATAAGGAATCTTCCTCCTGAGCAAGAGTGTCGACTGCAGTGCTGGTGATTTTGTTGCAGATATCCTGGGGGAGTAGCCCACTGAAAAGCTCCGTGCGCCAGCTCCCATCCTCCCGAACAAAGTCAGCTACCACCGCCTGCTCCCAAGCATCCGGAATCCCGCCAGTCGCTACCTCCTTCAGCGGAACCTGCAAAATCCACGGATCAAGCCAAAATTTAGTCCTTCTACCATTCTTGATATTCCAAGCGCAGCCTTTCTTAAGGAGCTCAGCAGTTTTGGAAAAACTGCTCCAAGTGAAGGAACTTCCCTGAACTTTCCGCAAGATATCGAGGCCCGCTCTTTGACCCCCGTACTTAGAGAGGAGTAGATGTTGCCACAAACTTCCCTCATTTTGCATCAGCTTCCATCCTGATTTAGCCAGCATGGCCAGGTTCGCCTGATGCGTAGGCCGCAGTCCCACACCCCCTTCAGCCTTCGGTCTCGTCATGTTTTCCCAAGCTACCAGGTGGAATTTGGAGCGGTTCTCCTCCTCTCCCCAGATAAAGTCCCTGCTGATTTTGTCTATACTCCTGCACACACCCTTTGGGATTAATTCAGTATGCATAGTATAAACCGGAAGAGAGGCAGTTACCGATTTAGCCACTGTTAACCGAGCCGCAAAAGAGAGGCGCTTCGCCTTCCAAGGAGCCATCTTCCTCTGAATACGGAGCAAGAGAGATTGATATCTTCCTTTAGTGACCCTCTCCTGAATTGCCTGTATCCCAAGATATCTCCCCAGAGCTGCTTTCAGGGGGATACCCGCACACTGGCTCAGGTATTCTGCTTTACGCCTGGCGACATTCGGGGAGACGTATAAGATGGACTTATTGTAGTTGACCCGTTGTCCGGAGCTATAGCAGAAATCTGCCAGACAATCCTTGATCACCCGGATTTGTCTTCGTTCAGCTTCTGCAAAAAGAAGAAGATCATCTGCAAAAAAAAGATGAGTGAGAGGCGGGCCGGCCCTGGTTAACCGCACAGCCTTCCATTTTCCCGCACTAACGGCCTCATCAATTTTATGAGAAAGACGCTCCATACATAAAACAAAAAGATAGGGAGAGAGAGGGTCTCCCTGTCTGATGCCACGAGATGGGGTGATCGGCTGTGAGAGGTCACCATTCCATCGAATCCTCATCGTATTATGCTCCACACAATACATAATGCAACTGATCCAGCTACTCGAAAGCCCCACTTCCTTCAACGTGTCTCGAAGAAA